AATGAATAAGAAAAACTCCTTAGAATATTGTATGCATATATTGTATACATATATTATTTATCAAAGTACTTATTAAATATGTAGAACTCTACAAAATAATCTAAGTGTATAACTGAAGCCAAAATTACATGTAGACTGTAATCTATTCTCTAGGTACAGCTTTGTGAACTGTTGTATTTTGTGGGCTGATAAATGGTAAATGCAGTAAAATTATCTCAAATCATAAGATGTGCTTTGTAATTGATTTAGACATTGTTATCTAAGTTTCAGTTCTTTATGATAATGCTTCATTGCATCTAAAATAAATAGTTACTGAGATTTAAAAGTCAATATTCCAATTAGAATCTTATTACACATAAATCTACAGAACTGCATAACTTTAAATTTATAGCCTTCTACAAATGCCTCTAGGAATCAGAAAGCTTATGAAATACAATTCAATGGCTGATAAGCCCCAAATGAGAAATACAGCTCCAGTCATAGGTAAGGTCTTTGGAGATATTCTGTATCCAACCCTGCTGACAACAAATGTTGACAGTTGCCAGTCTTTTCTCCTGATAGAAAACAAAAATGTTGCTTAGCTGTGGTACCACAGAAAAAAATAACTATGAATTTTGGAGTTATCAGGGAAATCTCTTGTTCAATAATTTCACATTTATGAGAATCAGATTCCAGCTAGTCTTATTAATATCTTTATCATCATTGTGGTAGTCAGAAATTCTATGTCATTCTAATGGGTGCCTGTTTGCACAATAGGCTTTAAACAGTTTATACATTTAACAAATATTTAACAAATATTTATCAGGCATGCATTTTGTGATATATACTATGTTAATATTTGAGAATATAATAATGAATAAAACAAAGCAATAAACACATATATTATAGATGGTTGTGGAGGGCTGTGAGGGAAATGGAGTGATGGGCTAGTGTATAATAAGAGGCAGTGAGGTGGGAGTGAAATTTAAGGCAGCTGGTTAGAAATGCCTCTTAGAAGAGGTGATTTTTGAGCTAATAATCAGAGAAAGGAACCACTGCAAAATCTGGAGAAACACATTTTATGCACAGAAAATGGTGAGTGCAAAGTTCCTGTGTGGAAAGGGCTTGCTGTATTTGAAGTTAAGAAAGGAGACTCATATAACTGGAAGAATGTGTCAGAGAATAGGGCATGAATTAACTTGGAAAGGCACTCAGAACTCAGATGCTATGAAGATGATGGGAGTTTGGATCTTATTCTAAAAACAAGGGAAACCCTGGAAAGTTTTTCTGCAAGAAAGTAGCATTTGATTTAAATTTATAAAGCTTCATTGTGGCTGCTGTATGGAAAATGGATAATAGAGGAGCAAGAACAGAAGCAGAGAGACCATGCAGAATGTCATTTTTATAGGTCAGGTGTGAAATATGACAGTTAAGAAGTTCAAATATATATTCTGGAGACAGAATTGATAGAACTTGTTCAAGGGCTGGGTATGAAGGGTGAGGCAAAGAGAAGAATCAAGGATGACTGTCAGGTTTTGTGATTTAAACAACTTGGTAGAGAGTGGTCTCATTGCAATGAAAAAGCCTGGGGAAAGAACAGGCTTCAGGATAAAGAAAAGTTTAACAGATACATACACCTGAAGACACTTGCTGATTCAAAGACAATCAGACCACAGGGGAGAATCTTGGTAGGATAACCAAGCAGGAAGACGGTAATAAGTGCTTTGTGTCTGTAAGTGGAAGATACATTACTTACCTACTGGTAGGGGATGTGTGCTTTGGATTGTATGTAATGCAATAGTGACAGATTTATATCCAGAATCCCTCAAGAACAGCATCTGCATTTACCAGCCCAAGAATAGGGGCTTGCAAAACTGTTTTGGTTGTGACATTCTGATCACTGGCTGAAGAATCCCTCTAAGGTCTCATTCTCTAAGTCATTAGTGAAACTGGATCTGAGATTCTTTCACCTATTTGCCTCCTTAAAAAATACTTTCCTTCCAGTACTATTCCAAAAATATGGTCTATTGCATTTTTAAATTGCAGATCTATAGCAATATGTTTTTAAAAGAGCATCTGGTTTATTTCTCACTGAGAGCTTGTGCTAAGAAGTGAGAAACATGGATCAAATCAGCACCAAAGAGAGACTGTGAATAGTTTAGTTAATGATTGGAAAAACATATATACTTTATTTAATTTATGTGCCACCATCACTAGTTATTTAAAACAAAAACTTTGCTGTGCATCGAAGGACAAAAATTGGAGTAATTTTTCTGCCCCCAATATTATGTTTCTTACACAGAAATTTTCCATGATAAAATGTCAAGATTATGACAGGGCATCTCTTTTGATCAAGTAGTTTAAGTTTTCACCTGGGTTTTTCACTTTCTTTTACTTATTAATCATGAAACAGGATCTGTGTTTACTATTTCAAGACAGGGTGAAGGCAGAATTTGCTTGCAAACAATTTCCTCCCTGATAAACTTCAAATCCTAGAGCTTAGGCCAGTTTTTCGAAGTATCCTGTAGAGACATCTGGGGTGGAAGAGAAAGAGACAGACACGGGGGCCTGGAGATGCTTGAAATAGGATGACCATATAAAATACAGGACATTCAGTTAAATTTTGATTTCAGATAAACAATGAGTATTTATTTAGAACAAATGTTTCAAATGTAACATATTATATATTAAAATGTCATTTGTTATTTATTTGAAATTAAATATAATCATATGTCCTCTAGGTTTTCTGTTTGTTTGTTTTTTTCTGTTGAATCTGACAACCTATAATGAAAGACATTTAAAGAGAGAAGCAGGAACCTCCATCTATGCAGAGAGGGAGAAAAGTTGGACCTTAGGCCCTATCCTAGCAAAGTGTGTCAGAGAATTGGAAAGAACTTTAAGGAGAATGCATAGATGTGGTATCTGTGGAACACAATGTTTGTATGTATATTTATTAAATTTATATTTTCAGTAGTTTGAGTATAGTTTCTTAAACTTCCAACTATTTCCCATACAAAATTATATAGCATGTAATTTCATTAACAATATCTTTGTATTATATTTATACATAAAAGGCTACCGGAAGTAGATCATTTGAATATAACATCAAACTTAAAACTACAGGCAGCATTCTGTTGTCTTTGCACATATACCATTATGAGCAAGTCTGATATATGCCTGATTTTTCTAACCTTATAAGTAACCTATGTGTCTGCCTACTTATTTTCCCAATTTGTTCTTTCTCCTTGATATTTGGCAGAACATGTCTAAGTACTTGTGTTTTCTAATTCTTCAGGATGACCCTGCTATCTAGGCCTATTTTTCCCAAAGTCACTGTTTCTAAACTAAAGGGATGCTTCTTGTGCCATTAATTGCACCATCAGAACCCTGCTCTCAGGTGATTGCTCAGTAAATGGAACTGTTTGCTTCTCTGCCTGTTCCAACAGCCAATGTTCTCTAACACTCTGCTTTTGTGGGCTGCTCCATTCCTTGAATATCAGTTCATACTAGTTTTCTTCGTTTGCTTTGACAATGAAACCTCCCTGTGCCATAGGTAGTCAAGGAACTCTAAGTTACCACTGTGAACAGGGACCACTTGCTTTTTATGCATATTTCTTGTCCTCTATGTCATAATAATAGAGACTGTTGACTCATATTTGTTTGATGTCAGTGAAGGAAACCAATTAAGTTTCTCTTCCCAGAAGAAAGTTCCAGTTAGATAATAATAACAGAATAGCAACCGGAGTGCCATCTTCAGGTGTTTACCTTATATTTGTTGAATGAATAAATGAGTAGGGGATTGAATGAATGAATGAACTTAGATGGCATCTAGATCTGGCCTCAAAAGTTTCTATAATAGCTAATATTATAATGGGTAGTCTGATACATAGGCTATGCATTTAATTAGCCTGACAAGGGGATGGGCCACTGCAAAAGCTTATTCCTACCTCAATTAAGCAAAATTTATAAATGAATTCCATTAAGCCTCTAAATAAACTCAGTGGAGCAAGCCAGCTCTTGCAGGACTCTCAAAGTGAGCCTGAATTTGCTTCCTCAAAAAGTAAAGTTTGCATTTTTGGTCTCTGAGTCCCAGGGATCCACATTTTCTTTTAAGAAGTAAAAACAAACAACCTTTTTATGTGCATTGAACTAAAAGTACTGCTTTTCTCATTTGAGGCCATGCTGACTCCATGTCTTTCTTCTGTTGCCTTCTAAGTCCTGCAGAACTTCACATAAAGGGTTTACCTTATGTTGTAAGAATATATGCCTTATTGTTCAAATTCCAAACTACTATCCTAATCCCTCAGAGCTGAGTCAGTCTTTGGTATTGTCTGGTATGACAGATTCTACTGTTCTACCCACTTATTGCTAGGTTTCTTTTTTCTGATAATCCAAGAGTCTCATATTATATAGTTCTCTAACCACCAAGCAAAGGGCATTAGTAGTAGATGAAGAACCTCTGACTTAACTGAAAGCCGTCTTCCTGCCTGTCACTTCGCAATGGAAAAATTTCTTTCCTCAGTGGTACCTGGCTTTAACTAAGGTTCCCAAACTTGTCCTGGAAACATTTAAATAGGAGGCAACAACTCTAGAGGGTAGCCTTAAGGCTAAGGGTAAAGACCATCTTGTTGAATTGTCTCCAGAGCCCAAGAATGTTCACATCCCGCAAGATGATGGAGGAGCTTATGATAGCCTAGGAACTAGAGGTATAGGATAAGATAGTCCTTCCTTCCTTGGTTATTTCCTTGACTAACATTAGGCTCTCAGGATTACAAAACAAAGGGTCAAAACAGATTCAAGAAGTCAATCTCATGCATCTTCCCAGATCCTCTGAACAGAGATTAAATTAGATTCTGAGTGATCCTGATGCTGAATTTAGTGCTAACTCATCACTAGAGGAAACCAAAAGTACAAAGGAACTAGTCTTCCACACACACACATAAGAGAGAGAGAGAGAGAGAGAGAGAGAGAGAGAGAGAGAGAGAGAGAGAGAGAGAGAGATGCAGTTTTGTTCTGGTTACTTTTCTGGAAGAAGCAAACCCTGGAAAACTTTCCATTTCTCAAGATATAATAAGATATTAATTCATCAATTTTGTAGTATAGATTTAGTGATTAATTTATCTGAAAGTAGCTAGAGTCATGCAGCTCCATATCTGGTCAGGTGTTTATGCAAGTTGTTAGAGAACTTGCCTTTATTAAATAATACATCGTTTTCATATCCACTAAGAATCATCTAAGGCTTTGATGCCAAAAACTCCATAATTCCTTTTTTTTTCTGTATCTTGTCTATTCCTGATTATTCTCCTAAAATAAAGAGAGGAAGGATAACATCTCTCTTGTGAGAGATGGGCCTCTAAGTAATTTCTGTAGCACTACTATGTGAGAGAAGGGAAGAAAATGTAAGAAGTACTTTTTTAGCTTTTGGAGGAACCAAGATAGTGATATGGAAGTAAGGAAATAAGGACAGAGGCATGTTTACACCTTTAAAAACACAAGCTCTTTTGTTTATCAAATAAGCATGTATAGTTTTTTATTATTATCATTAGTTGTTCAAAACATTACAAAGCTCTTGACATATCATATTTCATACATTTGATTCAAGTGGGTTATGAACTCCCATTTTTACCCCGTATACAGATTGCAGAATCACATCGGTTACACATCCATGTTTTTACATACTGCCATACTAGTGTCTGTTGTCTTCTGCTGCCCTTCCTATGCATGTGTAGTTTTTAAAGCCCATTTTTAGTTCTTCACCCATTGAAGAGCTTCTTTGTCTTGTGGGGCCTGTTTGAGAGAACAGGGAAATTGTAACAGTTCCTAAATGTACTTGTTTGTGCATTGAAATCACTAGGAGAACTTCAAAAATATTGACTGCTCTGTCCTTCCCCTTTTCCCTCAAATATAGTGATTTAGTTAGTATGTGGTATTATACTGGTTTTTGAAATGTCTAAATTCCCAGGTAATTTTAATGTGCAAATAACTTTGGTAATCACTGCTATAGTGGTATCTAACCAGTGGCCAGAAAACATCAAAATCACCTGGAAAGGTTAAAAGAATACACATGCTTGAGCATATGTCTTAGACCTCTTGAGTTAGAACCTCCTGGTGAAAGGTTTGAACTCCTCCAGTGGTTTCTCTGCACCCCTGTTCAAGAACTGCTGCAGACAGCAGTGATCATGGGTAACAGCATCTTCATTAGCATGGCTATTACCTGAATAAATAGACTGTAACAAATGCCTGGAGCACCTTCTTTAGCTCTCTCTAGGATTCCATGCCTCACACTCTCTTTTACATTTTGAACTGAACATAATTCATTGCCTAAATGCTTTCATTTAACACTCACAGCCACCTGACTATTTTCTACTCTGCAGTTCCCTTAGCACATGCATCCTCTTCTGGTAGTTCTGCGCTGCATCCACCTTAACATGCTTCCTGTAAGTATGCTCAAATTCCAGTTTAATTGGAAGCTTCCCAAGGGCAAAGTATTCATGGTGTATTTAGTTTAGATTCTATGTTACCCTACTTCTCTTATCTAATATAATGTGTATTACAAGGCATGATATAGATAGACATCATTCATGAAGAGAAAGATAACTTAGTTCAACTGGTATAGATATAACTGAAAAGTAAACACAAAAATATATTCAATTGTACATAATTCTGAATATAAATGTGAAATGGATAAATCATCTTGTGGTTGTCCTGTGTCTATATTGTGCTTCATATTTCAAAAAGTGCTCTAAAATTCACCAACTTATGCTACTGTGACCCAAGAAGTAGACAATGCCATTTTGTAGGTGTGCAAAGATGAGGCCAGAGGTGAGGGTGACTGTCCTTACCCATTACCTCTCCAATCTTCATGTCTCATGAATTCCTAAAGTTCATTCTTAAACTGCAGATTTAGATACCCATTTCCTGCTCAAACTTCTATTTCTTAGTGAAAATTAAAAAAATAAAATAAAACAAAAGAACAACAACAACAACAAAACCACTTGGGTTCTCTGATAGTCTTTCTATAACCTTTCTAACATTATCTCTTCATTAATCTTATATTCTAGACAGCCAGAACTGTTGACTGCTCCCTAGCCACATCAGGCACATTTACCTCAGTACCTCTGTCCAATTCAATGCTTTTATATTCTCAGCTCAAATGACTTCCTTCTCTGTATTCTCACCCTCTTCATTGTCCAAAGCCTCTGTTCCAAGAAAGATCAAGTGAAAGAATTTTTCTCTTTGGTCAATCTTCTAATATTTAGCTTCTGCTCTGCTTGATACAATTATATGCTTTCCTCTACTTGAATCTGCTTTTTTCATTGTGGTAAAATGCACATAAAATTTATCATCTTAATAATTTTAAGTGTGCTGTTCAATGTATTACACACATTCAGCATTTTGCACAACCACCACCACAAGTATCTCCATAATATTTTCATCTTGTGAAACCAAAATTTCATAAGCATTAAACAATATCACCCATTCCTCTCTCTACTTAGTTACTCGTTACCATCATTCTACTTTTTTTTTTTTTTTTTAATTTTTTATTGTTGGCTGTTCAAAACATTACATAGTTCTTGATATACCATATTTCACAATTTGATTCAAGTGGGTTATGAGCTCCCATTTTTACCCCATATACAGATTGCAGAATCACATCAGTTACACATCCATTGATTTACATATTGCCATACTAGTGTCTGTTGTATTCTGCTGCCTTTCCTATCCTCTACTATCCCCCCTCCCCTCCCCTCCCCTCCCCTCCCCTCTTCTCTCTCTGCTCCCTCTACTGACATTCGTTTGTCCCCCTTATATTATTTTTCCCCTTCCCCTCACTTCCTCTTGTATGTACTTTTGTATAACTCTGAGGGTCTCCTTCCATTTCCATGCATTTTCCCTTCTCTCTCCCTTTCCCTCCCACCTCTCATCCCTGTTTAATGTTAATCTTCTTCTCCTGCTCTTCGACCCTACTCTGTTCTTAGTTACTCTCCTTATATCAAAGAAGACATTTGGCATTTGTTTTTTAGGGATTGGCTAGCTTCACTTAGCATAATCTGCTCTAATGCCATCCATTTCCCTGTAAATTCTATGATTTTGTCATTTTTTAATGCAGAGTAATACTCCATTGTGTATAAATGCCACATTTTTTTTATCCATTCATCCATTGAAGGGCATCTAGGTTGGTTCCACAGTCTAGCTATTGTGAATTGTGCTGCTATGAACATAGATGTAGCAGTGTCCCTGTAGCATGCTCTTTTTAGGTCTTTAGGGAATAGACCGAGAAGGGGAATAGCTGGGTCAAATGGTGGCTCCATTCCCAGCTTTCCAAGAAATCTCCATACTGCTTTCCAAATTGGCTGCACCAATTTGCAGTCCCACCAGCAATGTACAAGTGTACCCTTTTCCCCACATTCTCGCCAGCACTTGTTGTTGTTTGACTTCATAATGGCTGCCAATCTAACTGGAGTGAGATGGTATCTTAGGGTGGTTTTGATTTGCATTTCTCTGACTGCTAGAGATGGTGAGCATTTTTTCATGTACTTGTTGATTGATTGTATGTCCTCCTCTGAGAAGTGTCTGTTCAGGTCCTTGGCCCATTTGTTGATTGGGTTGTTTGTTCTCTTATTGTCTAATTTTTTGAGTTCTTTGTATACTCTGGATATTAGGGCTCTATCTGAAGTGTGAGGAGTAAAGATTTGTTCCCAGGATGTAGGCTCTCTATTTACCTCTCTTATTGTTTCTTTTGCTGAGAAAAAACTTTTTAGTTTGAGTAAGTCCCATTTGTTGATTCTAGTTATTAACTTTTGTGCTATGGGTGTCCTATTGAGGAATTTGGAGCCCGACCCCACAGTATGTAGATCGTAGCCAACTTTTTCTTCTATCAGACGGCGTGTCTCTGATTTGATATCAAGCTCCTTGATCCATTTTGAATTAACTTTTGTGCATGGCGAGAGAAAGGGATTCAGTTTCATTTTGTTGCATATGGATTTCCAGTTTTCCCAGCACCATTTGTTGAAGATGCTATCCTTCCTCCATTGCATGCTTTTAGCCCCTTTATCAAATATAAGGTAGTTGTAGTTTTGTGGATTGGTTTCTGTGTCCTCTATTCTGTACCATTGGTCCACCCGCCTGTTTTGGTACCAGTACCATGCTGTTTTTGTTACTATTGCTCTGTAGTATAGTTTGAAGTCTGGTATCGCTATACCGCCTGATTCACCCTTCCTGCTTAGCATTGTTTTTGCTATTCTGGGTCTTTTGTTTTTCCATATGAATTTCATGATTGCTTTCTCTATTTCTACAAGAAATGCCGTTGGGATTTTGATTGGCATTGCATTAAACCTGTAGAGAACTTTTGGTAATATCGCCATTTTGATGATGTTAGTTCTGCCTATCCATGAACAGGGTATATTTTTCCATCTTCTAAGATCTTCTTCTATTTCTCTCTTTAGGGTTCTGTAGTTTTCATTGTATAAGTCTTTCACCTCTTTTGTTAGGTTGATTCCCAAGTATTTTATTTTTTTTGAAGATATTGTGAATGGAGTGGTTGTCCTCATTTCCATTTCAGAGGATTTGTCGCTGATATACAGGAATGCCTTTGATTTACATCATTCTACTTTTTAATCTCAGTGATTGTGACTACTCTGTGTACCTCATATGAGTTGAATCATATACTACTTATTTTTTCATAATTAGTTTATGTTAATTGACATAATGTCTCCAAGGTTCACCCATGATGTCATATGTTTCAGAGATTTCTTTCTTCTTGAGGATGAATAATATCCCATTATATGTGTATCTACATATACATTTTGCTTATTCTTTCATTCATCAATGGACACTAGAATTGCTTCCATAGTTTAGCTGCTGTAAATAACACTGTTATGAACAGGGTGTACATGTATTTCTTCCAGATCCTTCTTTCAATTCTTCTGGGTATATACCCATAAGTGAAATTGTGTATCTTATGGTAATTCTATTTTTTAATTTTTTGAGGAACCACCATACTATTTTCCATGACAACTGTACCATTTTGCATTCCCACCAACACCACTCACATAAACCACAATAATTTCAGTTTCTACATATTCTTAGCAATGTCTTATTTTCTATTTTTTTTTAAAACAGTAGCCATCCTAACAGGTATAACCTAGTATTTCATTGCAGCTTTGATTTGCATTTCCCTAATAATTATTGGTGTTGAGCATTTATCTATTCATGTGTCTATTAGCCATTTGTACCTCTTCTTTGGAGAAATAAGTCCTTAGCCTATTTTTGAGTTGATTTTGCTCATGTCGTTGTTGAGTTTTAGGAATTTTCTATGTATCTTGGAGGTCAAGACCTGAGTGTTAGACTTAAAACTATGAAAACTGTAGAAGAAAACAAAAAATGAAAGCTGTATGGAATTAAATTTGGCAGTGATTTCTTGGATATGACACTAAAGTGTGTGTAATACACACTGCTCAGGCAGCAAAAACAAAAATAGACACATTCATGCATCAAAAGTCACTATCAACAGAGTAAGAAGGAAACCTACAGAATGTGAGAGAATATTTGTATATCATATATTTGATAAATGATTAATATATATTCTTTTTGGCTCAAAATCTTGAGACAGGATGGGTCATAAATATTTATACAAACTCGTTTTCTATTTGGCATTTGCCACCACATTCTTGAACTTATATGAGGTGACATAATTCTGGATTGAATTATAGGAAGAATCATGTGTCCCATAGTGAGTAAGAATTGACAACTTCTAAGGTTCTAACTTCAATATTGAATAACTGTTTTCAAACTTATTAAGAAGGACTCACATGAAAATTCCTTAACTAGTTCTGAAACCTATATAGTTTGGTTGTGAAAGAAATCTGTGTATCACACACACATGCAAGACAACTAACTCCTTCTTCATACTCACTTACTCTGCAGACATATCAGCCCATCAAGAAGTCAAATTTTAATCAGTGAAATAGGCCAAATATAATTATAATATGTAGAATTCTTTATCCACAATTTTATTTTTACCTTTCTAATAAAACACCTGTTTTTCCTATTAGTTATAAATCAACTTCACAATTTAGATACTTGTGGTTTAGTTGAAAAATTATGTTAAGAGTGAATCTGGATTAAGTATTTTGATAATTTTTTATTAAAAACTCAAAGCGAATTACTATAAATAGCATTTCTTAAAAGAATATTATTTAATTTGCAATGTGATTTTACTAGGAGAAAAAGACTTTTTCATCTTCCTGGATAGTATATCTTTGACAAAACTTAGTTATTAAAATAAGGGGAAACAATAGAAATGGTAATATTTCACAAACTAATATGAAGTAATTTTGATTAAAGCTCTTCTAATAGCGATTCACAACTATGTCTTACAATATAGAATTTAACTGAACTACAAATATGAGATAGAAAACTCAACCATAAAATATATAGAATTCTTAACAAATTCAAAAATTGGTTGTTTTTATTTGCTACTTCTGTTAATGATTTGTAGGTTTGGAAATTAATATTTGTTTAGTATTATATCTTGAAATATCCCCCATCCATGTGAGATGTCTACTTCAGTTTCAGCTTAGAAAATTCAGTAAGTAGGGCTGGGGTCATGGCTAAGGTGGTAGAGCACTTGCCTTACTCACATAAGACCCTGAGTTTAATCCTCAGCACCACATAAAAATAAATAAATAAATAAAATAAAGATATTTTAAAAATCAGTAAGTAATATTTTTTGACTTCACTAGGAAGTATATGAGGCATAGCTCAAAATTTTTGTAAAATGACAGTATCACATCAATAATAATAAACAACTAATAGGGGTCATTTCTTTTAAAAAATATTTATTTTTTAGTTGTAGTTGGACACAATACCTTTATTTTATTTATTTATTTTTATGTGGTGCTGCATGTGCTAGGAGCCTTGCATGTGCTAGGTGAGCACTCTACTGCTGAGCCACAACCCCAGCCCAAGGTGGGGGAGTCATTTCTTTTAATGATATTTCTCGTTCTCCAAAAAGAAAAAAAAATGCAAAATCTAAGTGGAACTGAATGTAAAAAAAAATAAAATAAATAAGTAACATTCTTTTTTTAACTTTGGAACAAAAACTACATATTTAACTATATTCACTGATGCCAAATATTAATTCTATTGAGAAATTGCAGGATGCCAAACATTAGTTCTCCTGATAATTTTTATTGAATCCACAGTTTAGGATTACATCACATATTAGCAGCACCATTATTTAATCATATTATTAGAATACTAAAATTTTTTTTCTTTTTTTTTGGCATCCAGTATATGAACTGTATGCTTGAAATGGGTGGAATGTTTTAACCATCAACCAGTTTATCAAGAATGAAGGTAGAAAGAATATTATTTGGCTAGTTATTCTGACTTGAGGTCATGGCATTTCTTAAGCAAACTTGGGACATATCATAATTCCCGGTTTTTTACTTTGATTACCTTTCCCCAATGAAAGTACATTCAAAAGAAAAAGTAGAATGAGACTGAGGAAAATTCCTCCAGTCTATTTATAATATATTTATTTAGAAATCCAAAAATGGTCAATCTAGAGTTTGTCTATATGACCATGAATGAAAAAACAAATGTAGCTTTGGTCCATGAAATTTTATCAATATTAGTCAGTCCCATGAATATAATTGCAAAGAGAAGTAAATTTTTTATATTTTATTTCTCTTCCACATGGATATTTTTTTTCTTTTAATGCAAGTAGTCCAAAATTTTCATATTAATGGAATTCTCCTATAGCTTAAATGAATCATTGTTATGAGATTTATTTTAATCAGCTTTTTTGCTACTGTGACCAAAAAACCTGACAAGAACAATCAGAGGAAGAAATGTTTATTTTGGGGGCTCAGGGTTTCAGAGGTCTAAGATGGCCGACTTCATTCTTTGGGACTGAAGGTGAGCCAAAATATTATGGTGGAAGAATGTGGTGGAAAAAAGCAGCTCAAGACATGGCTGCAGGAAGCAAAGAGAACTAGAGACAGTGAAAGAGAGCAAGAAGAGAGGGAGGGAGGGAGGGAGGGGGAGAGAGAGAGAGAGAGAGAGAGAGAGAGAGAGAGAGAGAGAGAGAGAGAGAATATGCAAACGGGAAAGAAACAGAGATCCTCAGCAGGACAAAATATATACCCCAAAGGCATACCCCCAGGGATCTGCCATCTGCCTCCTCCAGCCACATTCTACCTGCCTATAGTTAGTCAGGGGAATAATGCACTGATTAGGTTAATCCTATTATAATCCAGTCATTTCATCTCTAAACTTTCTTGCATTTCTCATGCATGAAATTTTGGAAGCCGTCTCACATGTAAACCATAATAGGATGATATACCAAAGTATAAGATAATTGTTACACACTTTAGAGCATTTTATAATGGAAATTGTCACACATACACAAAAGAGTGGGAAATTTTTGCGAATCCTCATTTATCCAACACTTAGTTTCACAGCATTATCAATGTTTTTCCAATTTAATTTTATCTTCATCCATCCTCCTTAGAGTTTATTGAAGAAATTTTCTGATATCATATGTTCTACCTATAAAAATCTCCAGCATGCATCTGTATTTATCAGGATATTTCCCTCTACTCTATCATGTCACTATCACACCTCATATAAATGACAATAATTTTTTTAATATCATCTAATAGTCCAAATACAAATGTCCTTAATTGTCACAGAGATGTCTGGTCATACTTGATTTGCTTGAATTATGAATCCATGAAAGTTCCATATGACTATTCATTGCTTTTAGATGATAGCTCCTCCATTCTCAATGGAGTTGAAATCTTTCCACAAGGGGAAAAGTCAAAAGGCCACTGTACAAAAGTAATAGGTAGTATTTACAGAGTATTAAAATTTTGTGGGTAGGAAATTTAGGAGAAATTATACCAAATGGCACTTTAGTGGGGGAATAATAAAGAAAAGTTTGTGTAGCAGTGGGGTTTAGAGACTTGATTAGATTTAAGTTTAAGTTGTACAACAGGCTCAGAAGTTTTAGCTATTACTAAGCCCCTTATTAATTTTTTACATGATGGATTTGTCATTCACTGATGACCAAGGTCTGCCTCTAGTTTTTCACTCCAAAAATAACTTATCACTCTTACCTTTCCTTCTGCATTAATTATCTCAATTCTTTACATAATGAAGAACTTCTCCACACTGACCATTTGGCTACCCTGTAATACAGTAAATAGAGGAAAGTTATGAATTCATGTGTCTGTATGTATTTAATATGCTTCAATTTTAGTTTTGTGATTTTTTTATTCTCAACACCTTATCTCATTTTAAGCCCGAAGGGGCTTAAAATCCTTTTCACTTGATGCTTTTAATCATCATGTGAAGGCCTTCTTGCATTTTGAAATAAGTTATCCCAAGCTCAGCTTGTACATTTCTAACCAAGACCTAGAATTGTTATTTTCCAAGGAGCCCTAGTTACTTTTGGAGTGGAATATTGTTTGAAAATCTTAACTTGGTCACTTTGGGTGCTTCATATAGATTTTTTTTTTAATTTCTCCTATACCTTTTCCTTGGGTAGAGCTAAAAGTACATTATTGTTTGAAACAAGCCAGGAGTTCATGCTAATATTTTTTGATCCAAGTTAAAGATTACAGTTTTTTGACTAACTTCTTTGATTGTATAACTATGTCTTTCTTAGTAATTCAAAAATCTTGATCCCCAATTATATTATATGCTGATATAATTTTCAAATTATAGTTTCAAAATAACAAGGTCATTACCATAATTAAAAATAATTAGAGCAAATGTACTTTACTGGGCTTTGCTTAGATTTTAGACTCCCATTGAATTAGGCTTCATAAGGGATGTGCAAACAAAATGCTGTATTAGTGTGAGTTATACTGATTCCCTACTTTGTGCAATTAGGATAGTAACATAATACACAAACCGATTTATTTGTTATAATTTGTTTTAAATTTTTAGGAATCCCATTTTACTTTGTTTAAAAGCATGCCTGCTGGGAGTGATGGCACATGCCTGTAATCCCTGTGGCTCAGGAGGCTGACACAGGAGGATAAAAAGTTCAAAGCCAGCCCTAGTAAGAGTGAGATGCTAAGCAACTCAGTGAGACCCTGTCTCTAAATAAAATACAAAATAGGGCTGGGGGTGTGGCTCAGTGGTCAAGTGCCCCTGAGTTCAATCCCCAGTACCCCCAATAAATAAATAAATAAATGTTAAAAATGTACATGGTTTCAAACTCAAAACTATGTGGTAACAAGGCATAGTCATAGTTCTCTTCTATCTCTATTTCCTTCTCTTTCTTACTGTTTTCATACATAATTATTTTTATTACTTTTTAGTTTATTTAACTCTTACTTCTTTATGAAGATAGAAGCAAATAAAAGTAGATGTGTATTCATATATATTCTACTTTCTTACACAAGATTAACATACTAAGAACCATTCTGTATTTTGCATTTTCATATATATATATATATATATTGCATATATATGTGTGTGTATATACATATATATATATACATATATATGCAATTACTAAATTTCTCATAGTGTTATGATATTTCATCTTCCCAACAAAGAAAATACCTGCTTCTCTATGACCACACTGACAGAATAAAATTATTATTTTTATCAATCTGATATGTGAGAAATGATAGATTAGTGCAGTTTAATTTACATTTCTCTTATTATGGTGAGAGTGAGCATTTTTCATGTTAAAGGGTTGTTTGTATTTATTTTCCTGTAAATTGTTTATTCATAACTTTTGCCAGTTTCTATTGAGATTTTGGTATTTTTCCTTTTGTATTTCTTTTTCTGCTTTTGTTTTGTTTACTAGAAAGTGCTGGTAATTTAAACCCTAGCTTGGACTCCAGAGGTAGTGGTCACTGAGTATATACAAACTATTTACCATGTTGAGAGATTGGTTCACAATAAAATTGGTGTTTTCATTTTTTAAATTACTCATTTTTAGTTTTAGTGGTGGTTTATAATCCTCAAATCATTTTATCTACTTTAGCAGTGAATGAAATTGTGCAAATTAAAATCTAGGTGAAGAATCAATCGGGAAAATGCTGATAATATAACTGTATATTATTTTTTTAACCTTTGGAATAGCTTCCCATGGAAGTGAGGGAAGCCCATCACTACCCTCATTTCACATCAAACTCTCACACACTGAAGCTAATTTGTGAATGTGAATCACTTGGGAAATACAGTGCAATAGTAATGTAAAATAAAAATGCATATTTTGATTATTTGATACAGGAAACATAGATGTAGGGACCTAAATTGAATAATTCCATAACCGTAATTACAGCTTCCCAAGCACAATGTTGTTTATTAGATAACCCTACCTTTTTGTTATAATAAAGCCAGACTTTCTCCTTTGCCTTAAGGAGGACACAAATTACAAGACTCCTGACCTCCAACTAGTTGAATCCATTAACATAGCTGTGCTCAAAGACCACACCAAAGAAACAAAAAGTAAAACAAAAATCACTGAAACTGAGGAAAAAGCTCTGTTATGTCTGCTTGGGGCACAGTGGAGACTTATAAACCATAGTCGTAGGATAGTTCTATTTTACCCAAAACATAAATGAAAGAATGAAAATTAATACTTTGTATATCCTAGATACAAAAATTTCTAGATTATATTGTTTTATTTTCCTGTTTTGACTTCTGGGGTAAATGTAAATCACTTGGGAAATACAGTGCAATAGTAATGTAAAATAAAAATGCATATTTTGATTATACAAACTTATTAGATTATTTTTAGCATATTGTGAAAGCCACAAAGCATTCAAAATAGGTAAAGTTTAACTATTCCCTATAATTTACTACTAGGATTACAAGGATAGCAGATGCCTAGATATATATGAAAAAGAAATCATAAAACAGACATATAGTCATTCCTACAAATTCAACATCCTTGTATTCTCCTAAACTCTGAAAAACTTTTGCATAAACAATTTATGGCAAATATAATATTATTCTAGCAACAGAATTTAGCTAACCTTCTATCATGTCAGAAAATTAAGAGTCTTCTTACCCAACAGCTCACAAAAAAAATTTCTGGAGAAAGCCACATTGCCTTCATATCCTTCATATCCTCTGTGGGGATAGGCAAGGATCCATGAAATTTTATGTCTTTCCTAAGCAAGAATGGAAAAGGGTCTACAATATCCAGTGAATACATTTATACAGAATACACTGATTTCACCAATGCCATTTACAATATCCTTTATTCTAATGAACAAGCCACAGATATCACCAGTGAAATTCCATTTCTCTTTTAAATTTCAAAAATTCAGCAAAGCTTCTAGTCTTGATAAAAGATAGCTACTAAAGTCCTGTTAGTAGCTATCTGTGAACAGTGGTTTGCTTTTGGAATAAATTCTCAGTGAACACCAGTGGCATAAGGTTTATTAATTAGACAACTTCTTGCCCTTAGAGTATGGTTTAGCTGTTATTTCATACTGTTTATGGCATACTATTTTAAAAGTATATTACAGATATCATAATTATTTTGTAAGAACTATAAAGTCATGCTTCTTTATCTCATTGTTCTCTCATCTTCATTTTAAAGAATTTTTAAATCATCAAAATCCATAGTAATATTTTATCTTGAGAATAATTCATAAAATTTTTAGTTATGTTTTTACCTTTAGAATAAACAAGTACAAATAATTTACAAGTTTACTTACATAGGCCTCTACTATGATTTATTGTCCATTACAATTTCCTTTCATGATGAGTTTCTAATAGACTAATACACACACACACAAAAGCAACAGGTTTTAAAACTCTACTTATAAGAAGCATTTTTCTAAGTAATTCAACCTGCCTTGTCTCAAAATGAGATCAGTGCCTGATTCCTTTAACCCCCAGCATTAAAGTATTGTAGGTACCAGAGCTCCAAATGAGTGTTTTTATATGTGCTGAGGTCAAGAGGCAATGGAGGCATGAAGAGGGCAAGAGAGGACTTACGAAAGTCTGTTCTAGGCTTTGCCTGAGAACATTTCACTGCTTCTATTAGTTTTTCTGCTCAACTGCCCTTCAAGTTTTGTCTGAGGATTTTTAAAGTGCAGGGTGGTTGTTAAAGGACAAAGACTAAAGTGTTCTGTGGGAATAACCAGTTGAAGTTGACCAAGATTATAAAGTAATTTGCAAAGCTATTTGCTTCTACACAGAGCTTTTAAGTGTTAGAATATCTTGCCACTACAAAAGAATTATCTAAAATGAGGTAATATGCTGTACTGCACTGTACAGGCTATAAGCAATTATGGAGGGATATACGTTCTTCACTTGTATTAATAAGCCTGAGCAGAATATAAAGAAATAAAATCCTGGAGTATATAACAACTCCTGAGGCAAATTGAAAGAAATTATGAAGGAATTCATTGCATTACTGAAACAAAGCAAAATGAAATGCATTGTGACAACATGATATAAATCACAGGATAATATCACATCTTAATAACCAATGCAGAGCAGAAGAGAGACTTCTGTGTTGATTTACTGTGTAGAAAATGTGACATGACAGAAGACCCTTCACCAACCAAAGCTTTACATACCAGTATAGTTAGTTATGCTTTCCTTTCAAGTATATGGCTGAGAAGTCATCGTGAACATGATGACCATGGGCTGAAAGAAGTTTGGCCAATGATTCTTTCTCCTCCCTGGCCCTGTTCCACTGAGTTAATACCCTAATCCTCTACTACCTGACATAAAATCCCAATGCCAGTTTTTTATTCAGCTATATAAACCTACAGCTAATTACCATGTGCCAAAATAAGGCAGAAAGTATAATCTACTAGCAATAACTTGTGTCTAACAATATAATTGCATCTGGAATAATGAAATGTTCTTTTTAGTATCAAAATTAATAATTTCATATCAATGCTATTAATAATTAAGGATTCTTTTTATAACATCACATCATTAATAACAAGTGCATTATGAACGATTCTATTAATACCAACAATAATAAAAATAATGTCACATTGCCTTTCTATAGCTACAATTTTGCAAGTATAATGAAATGCTCTACACATAATGGACTAGACCCTGCTGTGTCCGAGGTAAGACATTCTGGAAACATATTAACTCTTTTAGATAAAAGTATATTTTTGGTTTTCTAAATAGCACTTTATGGCTAGAAAAAGTCATTATTAAATACTCAGCACATGAAAATTTTGTT